ATACGAGGGGTATCCTCAACATCCGTTCGATAGCACAACAGGCCATCATCAATGGAACATCGATGTAGCCTCTCACTTAAATGTGCCGACAATGTTATGTCCGAGTCTTTAAACTCATCGCTCCCAAGAGCCCGTAGCAAAGCTTTGCATTTTTCAACCTTGGCATAAGCCGCACGGATTAAGTTAGGAGCTGATGACGAAAGTGTCGTAACATGAGAAAGCTCATAGTCAGGTCGACGCAAAAGGCACCAGCCAAGGCCTTTTGATTTCCTGGCTTGCAATTCACCTCAAAGTTTTATTGAAAAGAAGGAAAGCCAAAGAGCCATTCTTTGAGAGAGATACGGCGACTGTATCGCAGTGCGCAATGACGATTGATCTGTATAGATCACGAATGGCTTTGAGCCAAGCAGATGTACTCTTTATTCGACCAGAGCATACTTCATAGCATGCAGTTCTTTGTCATGGACTGAATAGTTCTTTTTAGAAGCTTTGATCTGGCGGGACTCGATATCAATGACGCGCTCGCGTCCATCAACATCTGTTTGTAACAGAGCACTGCCAATTGCAACGTCAGACACATCACGTACTACACTGAAGGGCCGATCAGGATCGAGCAAAGCCAACATTGGCGCATGAAGGAGACTCTACTTATCCGCTTGAAAGGACCGTGTTTAGTATGACCCCAACGCCAATCCACCTTTTTTTAAAAAACGAAATTGAATAATTGCCTAGCCTTATCTGCGTAATTCGTACTATACTCAAGTAAATAATTGGCAAGGCTGATCCACTTGCGTAAGTCCTTTTGGTTCTTAGGAATTGGCCGATCGACTATGGCCCTTACCCTAGCGGGGTCCGCTCGGAGGCCTCGCTTCCTAGCGAAGCACTTAAAAAAATGGAACCTCTTCTGCACCAATTTTCACTCAAATTCTTTAGCGTACAATTTATTCGTGCACATGCACTCGAGCACAGCCCGTAAATGATCAATGTAATTGTGTACCTCTGATCGACCATTCGTTGCACGACTATGGAAAAAGATGTCGTCAAAGTACGTTTGTGCGTAACCTCGATGAGGTCTGAACAGTTGCGTCACCACACGATCAAAAATAGCCGGGGTGTTAGACAGCCCTTGTGGCATAACGAGCCATTCCCAAAGCATATTTCTCAGATTACTTACCGCTGTAAGCGGAATATCACTTACTCGCATGAGCAGCTGGAAATAACCATCGACTAAGTCGAGCGCACTGTACAATGTACATCCTACCGTATTGTTTTGAAGAAAATCCTTTCCAGGGATAGGCGTCTGTGCCGGTATAGTGGCTCCATTAAGCTTATTATAAGCATGCACAATACGCCATTTGCCATTCGGCTTCTTAGTCCAAAATGCTTCAAGAAGCCAAATGGTGTTGAATGGATAGATATACTCTCACGAGCCATTCTAGCCGCGTGCTGAGCACGAAAGAACTCGTTGATGAAGTCAAACTGTTTTTTAGGCAAAGAACACTGCCGTGTTATGCAGTATTAAGTTTCTGGACATAAGTCATTTTCACGACGTACGCTTCTATCAGGTGGTAAAATAGATGGTGGATTGTGACACAACACATCATGGAATTTCTTTACCAAAAAATTTAAATGGATTCAGAGAATCTATGATGATCGACGATCCACTTCGCGTACTAAGGGACGCCTTTATGTATTCTAGAACGGCCTCATCCATTATTAAGGACGATTTCAACTCAACATCGGGTCTATTGACCACTAATTCGGATAAATCGCCTGCCTTTAGGGCTGGCTAAACTGGCCATCAGATATTTCGTCTAGCTCATACAGAGCATTCAAAGATGATAGAGTTTCAAGGCTAACGTTGCCATCAATCTGACCAGTCACTCCGTTAAAAAGCGTAGTGTATTTTTATTATCACTCAGTGACTGTGTGGACACCTGACGCTTTACAGTTGCCACCTAGCGCTAATGTCGTCTCTTGTAGACCTTATACCCCTTAGGGTTCGGGACAATACCTACCCGTTTTTACTGCTATCAGTCGTGCCTCTATACAAGATCCGATGTCTTGACCGACATCCAGTGGAGGGTTACATAACTCGAACTCTTTACCCAGTAGATTTCCACGTGCCACTCCACGTACAGTATGCGGGACTAGCCTTGAACTGAACGGCGTTTCGCCAACAATGTCAGTACCGACATTAAGTGGGGTGCCTTCAAGGCCGACCACACTCGGTAAATTTTTACGTGCCGCCTCACAAACAGTTGATGAATCAAATCCATGGTAATCTGTTCCTAGGCCAACCATGCTTTTAGCATGAATTTACTCGTAATCACAACGAGTAACACTCAACGGAGTACGTGCCGTATCACCGATATCTAACTGGCTACGCTCAGACCCTATGTTTGCAATATTGGAGTTCGATACCTCAGACATTCCAATGTCTATCACATTGACATCTTCTGTCAAAGGCTCGCACCAGCATTGCTTGTGTTTCTCGCGAAGGTGTGTTCGTGACTCTCCAATACTTCTTTAGAAACGTTGCGCGTGGCGCCTAAGGTCTTAGACCTCCGTTAAATCCATTAATCGTGGCGTTCAAGCTAAGCCATGCCAAGGATGAGATCACATCTCGGGTCCAAATCAAGGCCAAGACACCATTCAATGCTGTCAAAGTCTAGAAACTGTATTTTTTAGCTCAATGGAACTTAAGGCACAGTAACACGACTTCCAGTCGCTAATTGAACCGTGATAGAATAACCCTTATACGCCTTAAGCGCCTCAGAATAACGCTGACTTCCCTCAAGGACACGACGTCGAGAAAAGTTGCAAGACGCTCCATATCGACCAAAGCCTCTTAAGGCCCTTAATTATAGCCACAGCGACTATCAAGTCAGACTTGTATCCACGCTCCATACCAATAACTAAGGATCTCTTTGGGGCTAAGCCCTTTTAAAATTTACTTTCTAAATGTGTGACAGAATCCAGTTCTTCCCCAGTAGGGTGCCCCGCGCCTACTGGGCGTTGGCATTTCTCCGTGCTATGCCAAGATTTATGGCTCGGGATGGAGTGTTGGCTTGTAGCTTTACGCTTTTTACGCAAAGGAAAACAAGACCGCAATCATTTAGTGCTTCCGCACGTAAAACATCGTCGTACAACGCGTTTCTGCTCAGCAGCTTGATGTTTAACTTCGCTTTCATCTTCAGCATAGCTCAAATCCATCGGTTCCGGCCTATTAAAGGCCGGATCACTCATGGAGTTTGCTCTCGCAGAGCTAGGGTTGGACCCATTTCAGCCAAACCTGGCCTACTTAAAGTTGTGCTCGGCATTAAGAGCGATTCTCACGGCCTCTTTGAAATTAGAGGGGTGAACCCACAAAACTCCGGTTCTGGCAATGCCAATACGAAGACCTTCCGTAAAGATAATTACATGAAGTTCAACAGGCGGGGGCCATACTGCATTGCCGCCATGAGAGTTCTCAACTCTTGGACATAGTCCGATAATTCATTCTTACCATGACAAGTAGATGAAAAGTGTATACGCACGCGGTGAGCTTGATTAGGTGGTGAGAATACATGTATTAGTTGTAACTTTAGCGACTTCCATGTAGGAAATACTAAGTCAACCGACGTGCTACACGTCAAGGACCATTCTCTAGCTCTTCTATCGAGCTTAAATATAGCCAGCGAGACCTGATGATGGTCAAGTTTGTTCAGGCCTGATATCATGGCCATCTCGATCTCACGAATCCAGAGGATGAGGATTTACCCTCCTTACCGGGGTAATTCTCATCTGTCGCTCTAAGAAGACGAGGCCTAGCCTCTCCATCTGGTACAGACACAGAGCGTGTAGGCACAGCCGATGCTACTTGGACTTGGACCTGCCCTGGAAGGGTCGCTTCAAATTGCATGAAGCCTTCAACACGTGAATTTAGCACTTCAAGGACTTGTTAAACAAGGAACTCCACGTACTCTAAACCCAAAGATGCGGTCAGCTTATCGAGCACGACCTTTTGAGCCTCAGAGAGGAGAGTAAGTTTTTCATCCTCACAGAGGAGCAGTCTAAATAGACTTAGGCGTTGATTGACTAGGGGGGCTGTCAAGTGTAGCGGAGCTACACAGCTTCTAAAGTCAGAGGAAGACTTAACGCTCAACGAGCAACTTAGCTTATAAGAGCTAGACTCAATTAGTCAACGAGCGTAAAGCTCATGGTCATTGTTCCAGGGAACTAAGCGATTTAGTGAATCTACAGCACTTAGTGCTCAAGAGTAACTAGCTACCTCAAGGAGGTGTTGCTAACTCTTCGTGATCATTTAACGACCAAAGACGCCTCGCGAGGCACGTCTCGTTAATATCAAAAGGGGAACTGAATTTATTTACATTTAACCTATATAATATCTTCATGTTGATCTAGACACTTATGCGCTAAGTTAGTAAGACTCAGATCTCCCCTATCTGGTGGCTGACATGAGTCATCCCCTATAAACCGATAAGATATTCTATATCTCTTTCAGTGGATATCATCTGTGTGTCTAACACACAGGGTACCAAGTACCCAGGTACGTGTAACTCCTTTACACATCTTGTCCTAACAATCATTCGGCTTGCGAGCGGTGGAATAACAATAGAGCCGGTATAATTCGCGGCTTAATATTAACCAAATTACAAAATGCTGCTACTTGTGTTTGTGTAACGAAAAAGGGGTGCAAATATAACCAAAAAGTGAAGGGATCTAACAATCCCCTACTTCATTCGCATAAAGAATTAGAATACAACTAACGAGATGGAAATATTGGATTTGGTAAGGTGAGAATTTAAGTTCGTTTGCTGGCATCATAACATTCCCTTGATTGGATTTTAGACTAGCTAACATAACAACGTACAGCTGTTTGAAAGAAAAATGTAGTATTCATGCCTACCTTGCTGCTATAAGCTCCTACGCAATCGACTCGTAGCCCCGGTGTCGTTCAGTGAGCGTACACATCCAATACCGACACGAGGAGATTCCTATTTATCCTGTAATGCAGGCATTAAAAACTCCTTGTATTCCTTCACCTGTTTATCCACCCTTCCCAAGGCTTTTGCCTGTTCCACGGGGTCTTCAATGAGTCCCGCCACGTGTTTTAAGGCATAATCGTACGTGGGCCATTTGATATTCTCCAAATCCAGACTCCAGGGACCCACCCCCTGCTGAACCAACGATATGGCCGTCTTGATTTGACGCTGGGTCTCTTCTTGCTGGCTCAAAACCTTCTGAGCGATCTCGGCTACAATCTTTGAAAGCATCGATTCGTCTCCTTTCACCCCATATCTAATGAGCCTTTGCACCAGCCCCTGAGTTTTTTCTACCACCGCTTCACCGTTGAAAATTCTTTCTTCGTCACTGAGCTCCTTGAAGTCGCCAGTTCCTAGTCGCCTGCGATTCCCGTTCGTGTCCGGCGTCGGCCGCTCGTTCTGATCCCACGTGGTTGGAACCAAAGAGAGCTACAGCAAGCAGATGCGACAAGTAAAATCACGGGGAGAAAGAAGAAGCTGACCATCGAGAAGAGGTACTTGCGGTCAGATGCGACCAGTGCTGCGAATAGTGGTTCTTAGTGGTGGGGGCGATGCAGATTTGGAAGTAAACGGGTATGATGTGGTCTCACAACACACGCGGGTGGTGGCTTGAGGTACGGTCCAATGAGAAAAAAGCTTTGTGGATGGGCTTGCTGTCGATATGGTCTGACTCTGATCACCACAGTCTGGTCTCGTCGCACTACGTACGCACAAATCGGTTCGTGGCGCAGAGAACTGCGTGTCGCACGTCAACTAGGCTGGTCTAAACATCCTCCCTTGAAGCTGCCTCTTCTCTCTTGAATCCTCCAGTACACAACTGTACATCAAAGCGCTTTTGTCGTTCTCTGTGATACCATTTATCACCCAGACACATGAAACATCGTGTCTGCGTGAGGGCAATCGGCATGCGTCACGATACACAATGAACGATAGAGTCCAGCGCTGCATGGAAATCATTTTGGCGACGGAAGTAGCACTAATGAGGTTATGATGTGTTGTCGTGAAGTAGCACTAATGAGGTTGGGATGTGTTGTCGTGAGTGTAATTTGTCGTTGCATAGAATACAAACGTATCAGACACAAGTGAGATATTAAAGCTCGTGGGACGTGATTCGTGTTACATACCTGCGACCGTCACTGCTATCGGCTAAGGCTTCAGTAGCGGATCAAATAGCTACTTGGTTTTGGCAGCTGACAGGGAACGAAAACGCGTGAATGAACTGTGGTTAATAATACAGATAATTGTACGCTTGTCGTATTGAGCCATTGCACATCGGAGCAGCACGTATGATGGTATGGCCGCGATCGGGCATAAAATACTGCTGTGCTGAGCACGTCTTTCGATAGACCAACAGTTCGAGCGAAGGCCGTGGTGTGACGCATGACGATAAGCTCACACATACCCAATTCTTTTATGTCTGGGCGGTGGTGCGATCGTAGAGGATGACTAAAAAGCACTATTTATGTACAATTGTGCACTGATCGATTCGAGAGGGGAGAGGTCTCAACGAATTGAAATAAGGATGCTCAGATGTGCCCACGACGTCCTCATAGCCAGGAGTGCTTGACGGGGCTCAGTGGTGAGAGTCTAATAAAATTGCACACCGATAAAATACGCTGGTGGGGTGTTTATTTGCGAAGGCTTGGTTTCCTCATGCTCCTCTCCCTTCCGGAGCGTAGAAGCGGGTCGTTAACCGTTGAAGTGCAAACAGTAGCAGCGATTTGCTCGCTCCAATTTGGCAGCTTAGTTTTGCTGTGTCACTCTTTTGCCAGAGAAGGGTCGGCAGGCTACATGCACAGTTGTTTCGCGACTTCGCTGTGCACAAGCACACACATCTGCCGACGACGGCGCTCTAGACAGTCTTGTGTGTATATTTTCCGGGTAAGCTTTCAGACTTGTCGTTTCCAGTGAACAAACTAGTACCAATCAAGCAACACGCGCGAACACCATCAACAACTTTGCGTCGTCAAACACAATTCCAAACGAAGCAGACAGGAGTGGCGCGAGCACGACAAGCCTTCATTTCTGCGAAACACCTTCCCGACCAACGGAGAGGAGCAGTCTCATTTGTATAGCTCTTCTGAATTGTCCTCTGTTCGAAGCAAAGGCGTTAGCTTCTTAGTTTTCGTCCAAAGACTACGTAGCTCCATGTGTTATCAACCATTGTGGTTGACGCTTAAGCACACGTAGTGACTGCGGGCACAAAACGCCGTTCAATGCATTCACCGTATTTTAATGTGAGTGCACCGTGTCAATCGTGTCGCGAAGTGTGACGCTGATTTGTAGTGCATACCCGGACGTATTTTATGCCGTACCGATGAACATTGATGATGCCGTGCTGCGAACGATTAGCTCTCGAAGTCATGGTCATTAGGCACCTATGAAAGCTACCTGCTGAGGGCGAGGCGCATAACAGTAAACAAGTTTCAAGACGACAGTTGCATGAATAAAACGCGTTCTTTTGCGAGGTGTATTCCAGCCCAAGATTGTGATATGCCTTGACATTACAATCGTGCATTTGATCCGCGACGAGATGAACGTATGGTGAGCCCGCATATTCTACTTCGTGTCACATTGCGCGTGTTCCTTATGGTACATAAGAAATGTTTGAGTAGCGGACGCACGCGATTGGATAGGAGTACAATGCCTTGCCGCGCTGTGCCAATGCGCCAAATGTAAAAGCTTGCTTACGCGTGCCTCGATGGATCGCAAATCTTTGCATACGGAGCGACAACACCTGATAAACACTCCAAGACAAAAGTGTACAAGTGGAAGTATTGCAACGACAGTCGATGATGGATTGGTTGAATTCGTCACATTATACTTTTTTACGGCATCTCCCAGATGGTTTGTTGGTGGCAGGCATGGTTATTCAGCCGCTCACCCGCCACCAATTACCGGTTTCGACCTCCCCTTAAGTCCGACACATTTCGCACGGGAGGGGGGGTTCGAACCCGTAATCAGTTACTTAAAAGTCACCTTACTGCGCCACTACACCAGGGTTCCATCCCTAGTCGATAATGGATTCGTGCGACAAAAGCCCGTAATTTCTACTTATCTTTGCGCGCAGACCAGGCTTTATTGCATAACATAGTCGGCGTGAATGAGCGCGCAGACCAGGCTTAGTGCACTGCATAGTCGGCATGAATGCAAGCGACATCATCTACACTCCCGTCTGCCATCAAGAGGCAATCTTTATGTTAATAAGACGCAAATGACGTCGTGAACAGCTGTGGTCAGCTGTGGCGAGCTGATAGATACGGCTTCAGCTGCAATCTTGTGACAGCAACTTCGAACATGGGGTTGTTGCTTAATGTTAGATGGATGCAATATACTAGCAAGATGTGATACAATGGTGTTGATACTATCGGGAAAATGGAACCTGAAAGACTCAAAACTAGCGCACGAATCGATAAGCCCGTCTTTTCGGTCAATTTGCACACTTTCTGGACGTACTCAAGTCCGCTTCACGTGCTGTCATGCTTACCAGATTCTCATTTATCAGCGAGATGAACGCCAAATATCGATCTGATCATACACCGCCACAGCTATCGTTGAGCCGATCAAGCATTTTCTCAACGCTTTGTTCACTTTGATAGCGACGTTGCCGACTGGGACCTATTCGACGTCCGCAGCCACCTTCACCCTTATTCCAATTAGTGAACGTAGTGAAACAATGCGTTTATACAAGCTTGACCTCGAGTCGAATACGCGCAGCTCAAGACGCTGTGGGCTTTGGTCACATCCTGCACAGAGGTTACAGTTTGTACCACCTTGTAAACAGTTCCTTTTATACTATACAATGATCTGAAGCAATGCATAAAAGCTTGTCGCATTTAAATCAAAGCCATTACCGCAGCCCATGCTTCAGGTAAAAAAAATCTCCTTCTTCCTGCTGTGCTTTCTGAAGAGAAAGAGATGACAGAGGTGAATGAAGAAAGACGGGCAACGGGAAATGTTGGTGCCCAAGCGATTACCGATGTTGCGCTCGCGCAAGGTAATTTCACTTAGACCACACAAAATCACCGCATCATGTCAGTTTTTCCAGCGACTCTTTACACTATCAAACGCTGAGTAAATGCGCCTGACGGTGCAATACTCGGGAAGAGGGAATGGCTCACTAGTCGACCACAGCACCCACCTGTCAACAGAATTGACAAAATATAACCCACTCAAACTTTATCGCCAACTTCTTTTCGCCTGTTCATTCAGTCATGTCATGCCTTCTCTTAGCAACGTGCTCAGTGCTTCACTATAATTCTATCCACGATCATCATGACATAGCACTTGTTGCGTGTCCTGACTCAGCACTACAGAAACCGCCACACGCTGCCACAAAATGAGACAAAACAGCAAGTCATCGTCATCGACTTCTACACTACCCAGAGCTACAGTACCAGTCGCACCCACAAACCTGCCCATTTCCCATTCGATCACATCGATACGCTCAAGACCTCTTCCGGAACACTGAGATGGTGCACTGATCTCTCCACGTCATAGTCCCTTTACCGTCTGCGTCACCTGTCCCTTTTCATCATTAAGATCCGCTGCAAGTCCTCATTCCACGAGTCTGCCGTTTTAGGTCGCGTAAGAATGTTCGCTCTTGTAGTCTGCATCACCGACCCCAGTGGCCGAGTGGTAGACCGCTGACCTGAAACCAGAAGATACCTGGATCGATACCCGGTGGGGGGTTCGATTGCAGGGCGCCGGAGATAGGCTGGAATAGTAGACGAGCAACCACGCAGAAGTGGCCGCCCTGCCAACCCGCGCAAGGCGAGTGATATTTGGGTGGACTGGGGGCCCTACTGGCCGAAAAGCCCCATAGTGTAATGAGGACTGCGGGTCCTGTAAGGAGTTCAAACTGAGTCACAGTACTCGCGGTTCACCCAGGGTGATCTGAAGGACCGCGCGGCATAAATCTCTAATGGTCTGTGTCACCCGATTAGGGAAGTGGAATATCATGCGAGAGCCCAAATAAATAATCTTTCATCACTATTTAAGGTAAATAAACACAACTATCACACTTTTCACTATCGGTCGAATAGTAATGCGTCGTGAGAGCTCTCTGATGATATGGACAAGAAGAGCCTCCGGCGTGGAGCTTTACGATTGCCAAAAGTCCAACTATACTGTCGATGCAACACCAAATACGTTCTACAACGCGATGGCTATAGCAAGGAGACTCGGAGGGTGTACACAAATGTGGCAGTGTTATTGCACGGCTATGAGCT